ACAAGATTTGTAGCTTTTGGGTCTGAGAAGGTCAGTGAAATCACCTCAGAATTTATCCTGAGATCCTGTACCTCAGATTGTAGAACATTTATCAGTGTCAGCCATGTGGATGAGTCATGGGCATTGCTTGGCCAATGTGCTCTCTGTGAAAGCCTGAGAGAGTGTTTTCTCTCCATGTGACTCTCCTTAGGCACACTCTACATCATCAATCACTTTCCCCTTTCTCCCCATAATCTCCTTGATCAGAAAATTTGGGACACTACCGAGGTACATGACATTACAGTACAAGTTCTCATATGTCCTGAGTCTTAATTGACCTTAGAAGGTAAGGGCCAAAATGTTGGGTTTCCTTGCAGCCCTCCTTTTTCTCTAATTTTGGTCTGAAAACTTAGGTTGTTAACCAACCAGAAGACAAGTGTATTTTTAGTACCAAACACCATAGGCTATTAAGCTTAACCTCACTATCTGTCTGCATATCAAACATCTTAGGCATGATAAGGAACAGGTATTTTTCATCAAGTATTGATATGTTGAACTTTAAGTCACTACATAATATGATAAAAAAGATTTAAAATTAGATTATATTTTAAAAATAGGATAAAGAATTCTATACTTCTCGAGTTTGCACATAAGTCAAAAAAATCTCACCATATACAACCTTGAAGCAGGAGAGTCCCATAATATTCCTTTTCCTGTCTCTTGCTTTCATTCACCACCCCCTTCTTCTTGAACATCCACCTACCCCAGAGACATCATAGCAGCAACTGGCACGTCATGACAAGCCACCCATATTCAGAATACCAGAATGACAGGCACTCCAAACATGAAACTACTATTACAAATTACCATCTGCAGTGCAGGAGCTTAGTTCACAGGTATCAGTATATATAGTCAGGGTGAGAATCTTTCCAATTAACTGCTAGATTAAAAAAATCTTCTGAAGATTCTCATGATCATTGCCTTCCTCATCTTTTACATATAACTCTATGGCTTGACATTGTCATGTTTTCTAGTTCTTCTCCATTCCCTCTCTTGATTAGTTAGTTCTTGAGATCCTGC